TAATAATAATAATAATAATAATAATAATAATAATAATAATTTATTTAGGAAAAGTACATACATAGTTGCAGAGTTACAGTACAAACATTCTGTTTGATTTAAAGACAGAGGTAGTACATACAGTACCTAAAGCCACTAGTACGCATAGCGTACATCACGCATACGTATATAAATCATCCCATCGAGTGTTAAATACGCATCTAAGTGCTTAAGGAAAGAGCAAGTGAAGCACATGTTAGAAGAGGTCTGATAAGTGCTTTATAGAGGTGCAGTTTTGTATCAGTTTTGACAAATCTAGGTCTGTATAATTTACTTATAATTTACGAAGTGTCATAAGAGGAGTTGACAGGGAAGTGTCAGAAGTTGTAAGATTTGAAGTGAGATTGGCAGAAGAGGGGACGGTGTGGGGGAGAGGAAGAAGTGATTGGGACTAAGGTAAGCTGGTTTGGAAGAGTTCAGGGTCGCAGGTCTGGTCAGTAGTTTCGTTTTCTGTGTCAGCCGGGGTTGAGCTGGGTGGAGATTCTGGGGGAACTACAGTAGTCGCAGCAGCTGAAATTAAAATATTTTGCGGAGTGTGACCTGTGGATGAGAATGGAACAAAGCGCAAGAGATGATGAGAAGGAGGGACAGAGATACTAGGAAGACCATTGTGAGTGAGAAAAATGGGAAGATAGACAGCAAATTCACGCCCATCATCCTTACACAGGCGGTGACTCGTTCATATAAGAGGTTTTGAAGAGGAGAATAATTACGGGCTCACCATAGCCCGTGCTACATGGACACTTCGTTCTGAGTAGCTAAATCTAAAACAACAACAGGAGAATAAGGTGTAGGTGGTGGATCTGAGAAGAGAGGTGGCGAGGGATGATTTTGATGGGCAGTAGTAGGGTAGTGAGGGAATGCATGCAGGACACTGGCATTCCACGTTAAAGCGTGGCATGCGTTACAATAATATTAATGTTATAACATAGATAAGGTGTTGTAAGCTTACCATATAGACGTAGGAAGTCGATATATTAAGAAGGAACGTCGCGTGTTAAAGTTAATATTTTATTGATATAAGGAATTAATATCAATATATTTTATATATATAGAGCAGCACTGCAGCTAATAAATATGTGGTGTGTTATGGAAATATTAATATAGATTTGTTAGATATTGCTATGATCTAGATTGGCTTTAGTGAAAAACTTGATTTGGTAATTGAATAGTATTTAATATGACTTAGTAATTGTCGAAACAAACTATAAATACATGTATTTACTAAGATCGTGATAAGAAATTTTTAAAAAGTAAAATAATTACCTATTGATTGCGGCCCTTTTCACTAATTTTCATATTTTCGGAATTAAAAATCGTAATTTAAAGCTCCAAGTATGTGCAATCACCATTATTCCGCTCAAAAAATAACGTTTAAGTCATATTTCCGATATTTTGAAATCTAAGTCAATTTGGGCCAGTTCACTGGGAACCAGTCAATCTCCAACCTCCAATCTCCAGTCTCCAACCAATCAAGAATCAGTCTAACCCATCACCGTTCACACTAATTTGCATATTTTCGGTATAAAAAGTCATAATTTACTGAAGAAGCTTTTTACTGGATCATGCCGCAGTTCCTGCTCACAGAGTTTGCACCTAGAGTGCTCAGGATTGGGAGATCTGTCACCTGTAGCCACCTGCCACAGGTAACGGTAACCCAACCTGATCCTGGCAACCACTGTGTCGCACATTCTAATGGACATTTTGAGCTCTCATATGCGTAAGTATTAGGTGTAAACAAATCATTGCTTTTTACACTGCTCTCAGGCCTTTGGGAGTCAGTAATTTCTCTCCTATTAGACCTGACTATATGGAACAATATAGTCTTGACAACAGAGATGGAGATACCTATCTAGGTCTGACTCGATCTCCTCCTTATTACATGCTAATTTGGTTGCAATGTCTGTCTCATTGTAATTGGTAATATTTATGTGAGATGGTATCCATTCAATGTATATTCTTACCACCTTTTATTCAGAGCAGTGAACAGGTTATTTATAATTGTTATAAGGTTCTTGCTGTCGATCTTGAAGGAGAAATTTTCAAGTGCTTGAAGACTGTAAGACTTCCGAGGTTAACAAGTCTATGGATAAAAATCGAATATTTTCATTTGGGCGACATTTTATTTGAGTTTGTATTTATTTTGTATCCAGTTACTCCACTGGACACATTACATAGCAAGACTGAAATATTTATTCAAACGCTATACACCTTGAGGTGGTTCTTCCGGAGCTTAGCGTCCCCGCGGCCCGGTCGCCGACCAGGCCTCCTCATATTCACAACACAACATATTCAGTCTATAAAATTCAGGCCCTAAATAACCCATTTACACATTAAAAATATGTGTTTACAGGTATCTCTTAATTAAAATTGATACCTACAATAACATATTTATATATTATATATATATATATATATATATATATATATATACATCTCTAACAGAATGTATACCTGTATTAACAGGACAAACAGCACCGTGGAACACAAATATACCCGCACTCTCTCTATTACATATTTACTAATAAAACAACATAACAGAAATATATAACAACACGGCCATCTGAACAATGAACCTTGTGGCCTTGTATACAAGTTATCCGTAGTCCTTATCTGAGGTAACTGTACATTCGCCAGTCATGTCTTCAACTGCTCGAAAAAGTTCGTTCTTTTTTGTTTATAATCAGTGTCATTACTTTATATTTATTTAATAATTAATTATATATATATATATATATATATTGTGACGATAATCTCCTTCAAGAGATTGAGCCTGCTCTTCCCTCCACAAACACGTCGTTGAAATTATATAAAACGACTATGGAAGACATGTCCAACAACAACAACAACACCAGCAAGGCTTGCCAGGGTGAGCAAAACATATGCAGCCAGCCACCTGTTCGGACTCAAACCACCAAACTACATGTTGATCGCTACCGGCTCCGCTGATTGGTCGCCGGTCTGGCTGCACCTGCACTCGCCCCCCCATACTACTTGATGTCTGGGGTCGCCCCAACCTCCTACGGCAGAATGTTCAGTGCTCTCGTTGTTACCACTCCTCCCGGCTAGACGCTAGCGTGTACTGAGGGAAGTGGTAGCTTAAGCCAATATTCCAGCACCTCCCATTTACTTGTATATTGCACTTCTTGTTATTTTGTCTTAACGTAACTTTTCATTGTGTCATTTAATTATTCTTATTATTTTGATTGATTTTATTATAAGAATTTGTTTGTGCATTTTATTCATGTTTTGATTTAATTAACGTAATTAAAATTTCATTGTTAAAGTTTACTTGTGTTTTGTGTGTCTTCTCCTTACCTTACCACAGACGAAGTTCCAGTTTTTTCTATTTTTTTTTATAACTATGTGACGAGGCCATACCCCTAGCCTTAAACAGCCGAACACCAACGCGTTACCGTCACAATATATATATATATATATATATATATATATATATATATATATATATATATATATATATATATATATATATATATATACACAAGACGTTACATTGGGTTTATGAGAGTACACAGTATTGATGTTTTTACATTCTAGTAAAACCACTAACAACATCTTTCATTGTAGTAAAAAAAACAGTCAAGTTTCTAGTTTGCAGATTAACATAAATTTATGAATTTTCTTTATTACAGATTTGATGATGAATACGACAATGTATCTGAAACCTTAAGTAGATTTAAATAATAGTAAAGACGTAAAGACGTTTGTCACGTTTTAATTCAGAGTCGAGTAATATGGTATTGAGTGATTTTCATGGCGGTCAGTTTGGCTCAATGTTGCTTGAAAATTTTTTTTTTTCTCTCTCTCTCTCTCTTGCCAATATCGATCTGTCCATGTTGGGTACATACCCACCAGCAATTACTAGGACAAATTGAGTGACGCCAACCCCAAGCGTCTGGTCAGATATTAGCCTCGAATAGCCAGATATTAACATTTATAGATATAGATAGCTTATAAAGTAATTATCCCTGAGTATCACATACAATTACCCCTACGTATGCTGTCAGCTTGTATTAAACTACTCTTACTGCACTGTAACTCCTTACCTGCGTCCCATACACGGGGTACAGGAATCCTGTTACGAGATTCTCCACAAACAATGTTTGCTCCAGCTTATGTGCCGTCATGCTCCCTCTAGTAGCTACACACTCCAAGTGATGCTCTCAGCAACTGTGCAATTGCCATGGTTTGAGGCGCTCCGTTGCATATGTACGGTTTAATAGTTGTAAACTATGCAAGTAGCATGACATTCATTCATGACGACTTATGGCTATATGGTCTATTGACCGAACACCAATGTAATAGCGGTTTAACTTAGCTAAACCGCGCAAATGACACTAATAGTTCAATACGTTAATATTGTGATCGAGACTTACAAGACCCCAGAACCTGGACCCATCACGTGACACTGCCACTTTTCTGCCACTCAACCACAGGATCAGTTTGAGGTACATGGGTAACTGGGCTTACTGAAGGTCTCACGCGATGTGCTATATGGGGTTCACTGCTACTCACAGGATGGGTATGTGGGCCACTGCCACTCACAGGATGGGTATGGGGTCCACTACCACTCACAGGATGAGGTATGGGGTCCACTACCACTCACAGGATGGGTATGGGGGTCCACTACCACTCACAGGATGGGTATGGGGTCCACTACCACTCACAGGATGGGTATGGGGTCCACTACCACTCACAGGATGGGTATGGGGTCCACTACCACTCACAGGATGGGTATGGGGGTCCACTACCACTCACAGGATGGGTATGGGGTCCACTACCACTCACAGGATGGGTATGGGGTCCACTACCACTCACAGGATGGGTATGGGGTGCACTACCACTCACAGGATGGGTATGGGGGTCCACTACCACTCACAGGATGGGTATGGGGTCCACTACCACTCACAGGATGGGTATGGGGTCCACTACCACTCACAGGATGGGTGTGGGGTCCACTACCACTCACAGGATGGGTATGGGGTCCACTACCACTCACAGGATGGGTGTGGGGGTCCACTACCTCCCACACGCTATCTTTTGGAGAGTAAAGAAGCATAGCAAGGTATGGGAGTGTGTAGAAGACCTGTAAAAATGATAATGCCATAGTGTGTAGGATGGGATGAGAACTGAAGAAGGCATTTGGTAGTGCCGTACCAGAAGCAACAGCCTGGCGAATCCGTTATCCGAGGTTGGCAGCGCTGATGGAGCTGGCCACGCTGTTCCCTGGTGTACAGATCCGCTGTAGGTTGTACACCTGGCCCTGTGGACGGAGAGAAGAGATGACATTTGTACACCTGTCAGAGGATTAGGAAATGACAGATGTTCACCCGTCAATGTTAGCGGAGGTCGAGGAGATGACAGTTGTACACCTGTCAGCGGGGGAGAAGATACAGAGAGAGGACTCTGAGGAGACAGAGGGGGACACGGAGGACACACAGACGGGTCCCAAGGATGGAGACACTTACCCCTGGACAGCCAGGCTGGGGCGGCACGGGCGGCGCGGCGCGAGTGACACGGTCAAAGGGCGGTCGCGCCGGCAGGATTCTGCAACAAGAAAAGAAATTCATATAAATGGGTTCCTTAGCCATAAGCAGATATTACACAATATATGGCACTCGTGCAACATTTTAATTATTTACTCCAGACAGACAGACAGAGGTGAGGGAGGGGTGGAAGAGAGACTCACGTGTCGCGACACTTGGCGTTGATGTCCCTCTGGGCTCCCGCACGACAACCGACCAGTCGGGTCTCGATGACGTTGCCGGGGGTGGCGTGTGGCAGCGGGGCGCGACGACTCCTGTGGTGACTCCGCCCACTCACCAGGTCGCTCATAATGGCCTTCACTCTACAATATTAACACAACCATACAGGCTGGGAAGGCCGCAGTACAGTCTACATAAAACCCTATAGGGTTACGTACTTTATACATGTAGAGGGTACATAACCCTCCCTAAGGTTATGTATTTTCCCTTGGCCTATGTATTCTTTAGAGCTTAATAATTAAAATTATGCCATTAACTGGTTCAAGAATTCTAAAAAATATAACACAGAATGAGACTGCTGGAATACGGCTTACTATAAACAGTCCATCCTCCTGTTTTCGTAGTACTTATAGTAACGATGAGAACCATTGTATATATACCGACGTACACAGAAATTAGAAAGTAGAAATCTGCACTATTGAGTTGGACAAACCGGACAACTATTTTTTTTATGTTGCAAAGACAAACTAAACTAACCTAACCTTCCTAGTTATCGTTACACGATAACTGAGGCAACGATATCCGAGTACATATGTGTTTTATACTAGGCCTAGGAATATTTAAGTTCGTTTTTTAGCTTCATTTTTTCCGACTCTTATAAAAGTGAATAGTGCGAATTCTACTATCTAATTGCTCAGAACGTCAATCTTTGTACTATAGTGAACATAGATACAAAAACTACTATTTAAACAGGAGAATGGGTTGACTTTAAAGTATTACCTCTGGATGTGTCTGGAGCCTTCAGGCTTGGCACACTGTAGTGAGCTTATACCGCTTCAATAAAATAAGAACAAAATATGACTAACATTTTGAAGAACTCGTGAAACTTATGGCCAGAAGGAGCTTGCAAGAAGTCGAGGCTGCTGCCGGGCCCTGACGCCGAGTCCATCAGGCCCTTCAGGTATGCAATCAGCTCTCCCTTCACCACATTCCCCTTCGACAGTGGCTGAGTCGCCTCGTCATAGGCTTGTCCGGAAGATGCGTCAACCGAATACTTTGATCCTCGGCCGTTGCCGTACATGGACATTGAGGTACCAGAAACAGTTGAAGGACCATAGGGACCTACAGTCGTACCCGTCATCTTATAAGGTACAGCTGCAGAAGACAAGGGAACCGTTCCTTCCCTAGGGATAGGAGGTCCGTACATGTAACTGAAGAATGAGAGAGTGTAAGAGTCGAAGACCTGGTAGCCGGCGTCCTCGAGGGTGGAACAGACGCCCTGGAGCCGGTCCAGGGCCAGGGAGTACCAGGTCGGGGCCGGACACACACCGCTCATCTGTGGGAGAGACAACACACGCCCCTGCATGAACACCTTACCTTAAGACTACCCGAGTCTTCAGACATTTTAGTAGTCTCTTCCAGTGATCAAGACTGTAGAGAAGATTCATTCCTCAGATCATACAATTATACTTATCTTTAAAGGAACTGGCTACCTATATATTAACTGTAATTAGACATCTAAAACAATATTACTCTGTTAACACCAAGATTGCATCCTATGTAATATTTTCTGCTTGGCGTTGCATCCTTCCCTCAGCATCTCAACAATATCGTGAGCATCTTGCGGTGATGCTGGAGCCGCCGGACATTTCCCTCCTCGCCCTCTCTGCGGCGAATGGATCCCATCCAACTTTAACCTGATTTACTGATTATTTAAGCTATCAGAGCAACACAGTCAATCTAGTGATGCATCACGGGTTCTACATTTTCATTCACACCCAGTTATTCAATACAATGTAAATTAAGCTTGTTTAGGTCTAAAGTCTAGACTGTGTACTGGATAATCATGAGTTTAAATGTCTGAAGTTCCTCTGAACAGTTTTGACAGTATTACTATAACACATGTTCTTATCCTAACTGGATGCGCCTGTAGTTCACCTGTCCTAGTCGGTGACACTTGTTGCTCTCCTGTTCTTGCTGTAAATACCTGTAGTTCAACTGTATGTTCAACTGTTCAACTGTAAGGACACCTGTTCTAGCTTGCAATACCCATGGTTCACCTTTCCTAGCTAGTGTCCCCGGTCCTAGTTAATAACACCCGTGTCTTACCTGTCCAAGCTGGTAGCACTTTCCATAATCAGAAGCGAAGGGGACGAAGGGAAGTTCATTGGGCCCTCGGTAGAGATTCTTCCCGCCGCACGGGTCAGGGAGGCACTCCGGCGGGAGGCTGAAATCCCTGAACCACAGCACCTGTTGGAGGTAAAATTGTCAGTTCCTTCTTCTAGAGGGCCGACAACAGCCCTCAAGCCCAATGCCTCCCACCCAGCCCTCGGTATGAACCACCCCCTAAATCCACCGCTACCGGGCTCACCTTTCCTGGCGGGCAGACGCCAGTCATGCTCAAGATGGGCTCACACACTGTGTCATACGAGTCGTTGTTGACCTCGTAGGTACCGTCCGGACACTGGCACACGGGCGTCCCGAACGCGGACTCGTACAGCTGACGACCCGCTGAGAAGGGGCGAATCGCACATCAGGGCCAGGTCAGCGTCGGCACCAGGGGTGAGAGGTTATAGTGAATTATGATTTATTGCCAATGAAGCACGCAAGAAAGCCTTGTGCGAGAGGGTGAGAGTGGTGTGTGTGTGTGTGTGTGTGTGAGAGGGTGTGTGAGAGAGGGTGAGAGTGGTGTGTGTGTGTGTGAGAGGGTGTGTGAGAGAGGGTGAGAGTGGTGTGTGTGTGTGAGAGGGTGTGAGTGTAGCAGCCAGCAGAGGTCTGGAGCACTCTCAGTTTACCAGATCACGATGCCCCAGCAACAGAGGTTGGACGTTAAAGTAAGATTTCTACGCCTTTAACCCTTCCGCTGCTGACTTAGTTTGGGGCTTCCACCTCTCTAGCGCAGATTGTCAGAAAAATTTAATAGGTAACCAATTCATATTAAGTTATAGAAAATAATAAAAATATTTTTGGATAATATGGTCAAAAAAATTATTCTTATAATATTTTGAATAACAAAAGTATTTTGCTCTTAAAAGTTATTGAAAAGAACAAAATATGGAGATTATGGGAAAATAACAAAAATTCTAGTTGCTCTAATTTAGTAGTTGGGGAATTAGAACACAAATTTAATCCCCCCCCTCTTTTAACCCCTCCCCCCCCCCCCCTACAATCCCCAAAATAGCATTAGAAAATGTTAAAAAACAAAAATACTTGATTCATATGAAGTTCTTGAAACACAAATAAAGATTACATGAAAACTGAAAATAATTTCGATACAATGAAATCACAACAGTATCTGCAAGAAAAATCTTCGGCGCACGAGGCAAGTTCGATCCCATCGGACTGCTCCAAAGTTTTTCCTCGTGAATTTAGAAGCCTTACTTGGGTCTGGTGAGATGATGGGGAAACAGAATGTAGGTTATAGCGGTGACGAGGAGTCACAACACGTAGGGTTTAAAACATGAGAAAATTGTTACCACTCTGTTAGGGAGCCGGTCGGCCGAGCGGACAGCACACTGGACTTGTGATCTTGTGGTCCCGGGTTTGATCCCGGGCGCCGGCGAGAAACAATGGGCAGAGTTTCTCTCACCCTATGCCCCTGTTACCTAGCAGTAAAATAGGTACCTGGGTGTTAGTCACGGGCTGCTTCCTGGGGGTGGAGGCCTGATCGAGGACCGGGCCGCGGGGACACTAAAGCCCCGAAATCATCTCAAGATAATCTGACTCTTAAGTCATCGCTACTCTTTACGTAAACGCAACTCAACCTAAACTAACCCAACCTAACCAAGAGGTGAAAATGCGTTTATGACGTCACGGGAAAGGTATTTGACGTTAGTACGACGTCAGAATTTTATTCCGGCTCAGGTTATATACTCTACTTGTGCCGTCACCCTTCCCCCCCCCCCTCCTCCATCTCTCCCACCACTGTACACTTGTCTCACTCTCTCTCCTTCCCTGCATTCTCCACTATTTCCTCAAATTTACATTTAGATCCTTTTGACTGAACTTTCAAATGATCACTAATATCCTCAAACAACTGATGAGGATGATGTTTGCTACAGCGCCAGGGGCGGGAGTTGTTGATGATTGAGGGCGACGGTAGGAGCCATGTAGCGTGGGCGGCAGACGACATGCTCCCATGACAGTGGTTCAGTCAGCACTGAGAGACCATCTAATATTTCATAACATGGCGACTCTGGGGACAGAGACCTCTATCGGCCGTAGACACAACCACACCTCGGCTTGAGCTTCAGTAACCCAGATATGAAAGTGCTCACGTATTCAGCTCAATGAAGCTGAAAGCATCCGGGTCACAGAGAGCGTGTTGTGGGCGCCAGAACTGTAATTGTTTAACAACTGAGCTACAGAAACTGCTGTATAAATACCATAAAAACACTTGGATTACATACGGGGGCACAGCCTGTCGTTAAGAGGGTCGTGACACAGCTGGTCGCCGAAGACAAAGATCCTGTCCGGAGCACAGAGCCTCGGGGCGCAGTAGCCCTGGTTGGTCTCCAGGTTCAGCAGCACGAACTCCGTCACCTGGCACGGCCCCCGCGTCAGTAGCTTGTGGCACCCACCTCCAGACACCTGCACCTCCCCTCTGGGGCACGAGTCAACCAGCTGGTCGGGGCCTGCGGTGTCAACACGAGCATCAACACACAGGTAATGCAAGGTATTAGGAAACGTTAAATTATCGTTGATTAAAGGTGCTAAATGGACCCGAGAGTGTCAAGATTTTGTTGTTAATAGCTAAGAATATTAAATATAGATACATTTGGTGTCTAATATTCCACAGGAAGTGAGCTGTGAGAGGCAGCTTATATATAAACGCAACCAAACTCATTCATGTTTGTCTTTCATCTACAACCTGTCATCAGCAAAGTCCAAATGCCTGTTAATCCAGCCGCCAAACCCCCTGTTTATGCCAACCCGTCCTCGACTCAAGTCCATTACATTCAGCGGTCGACCCCACAGAGGCATTCAAAATTTTTTACATGCTGTTCATTCAAAATGGGAATTTTCTCAAATATAAATTATTATTATAATATATTAGCATATTGTGCATATATAGGCATAGGTTAGGTGTTTAGGTTTTGTTGGCGATTATTTGTATTTGAAGTACGTGGGTGAAGCATTTACAGCGTTGTGGTTCGAACAAAATTCGTCAGTGAAGCACTTGTTCCGGAAGTGTTCGAACGTCATCAGTTGTGAGTCGTGTGTAAACCGTTTTCCATTCATAAACAGGGGGTTTGGCAGGTGCATGGAATCACTTTTGGGTCTTTGTTTGGAGGACGGGCTGGTTTATGCAGCCCGTCCTCCACGTGTCATGCCTAATCCTCCACGTGTCATGCTTTGCCAGTCTCGTGACATCTTACTCGACATCGACCAGCTGGGAAAAAAGGACTAGTTGCTAGATTTATGGAAATGGAGGATAGTTTCCTGCGAGGTTGCCAAACACACCACTATAGAATTGTTGAGGATGCTGCCATTCACCTCCGTTGTCCGGTACAACACCAGGGGTCAGAGTCACCGCTTCACCACCACTGTGTGCTGGGAAAGCCGGAAGTGGTCGGCTTGTTGACACAAGCTCTCCAACCCAGCCTAAGCCTATGCTGGTCCTAGCTGCGGCTGTCATCAAAGGTGCGTTCTTGTCGTTTTGTTTATAATTAGACCTAGGCTTAGTAATGTAAGGTGTTTGGGTTCTGTTGGCAAATATTTACATCTACAGTACGCGGATGAAATATTCAGAGATGTGTATTTCGAATATTGGACGTGAGCGAAGCACTATTCTAGAAAAGGTCAAACGTTATCAGCTTTAAGTCCAGCCCATCCTCTCCAGCAGTGACTAAATGCTCGTTAATGCAGTAGCTAACTCTCCGTTCATCATCAAAACAATAGGTGATGCGCTCACTACGCAAAAGTTACATACTGACATTAAAAAATATATATATATAAGTCAGTATTTGAGCAACATGTATAGCTAACTTGACCATGTTCAAAGCTATGGTTCTAAACATTCCTCGTTCACGTTCAGTCTGTGCTATATGAACACTCCCTAAATCGCCATAACCTAGCCTGTTCTCAGACTAGGCTCGTTAGAGCGGCGGCCGTTCCCCAAGACACACTCATCAATTTTAGTGTATTGTGTATTAAACATAGGTTTGTTCCCATAAATAAGTTAATATTGTTATACAGCAAAGTTTTATGTATATTTAGACGTAGTTTAGGTTAGGTGTTTAAGTTCTGTTGGCGATTATTTGTATTTGTAGTACGTGGGTGAAGCATTTACAGACTGAGCATTAGATTCGATCAGAGGTCGTCAACGAAACGTTGTTTTTGAACGTCATTTTGAAAGCAACCCGTCCTTATGACCAAAGGCCAAATGTCCATTCCATAAAGCCGCCAACCCCTCTCTCTATGAATGAAGAACTCTTAACACACGACTCAAAGTTTGTGGAGGCATCTGTGAGGTCGACTTTGGAATTCATTGCGATAGATCTAAGACTGTTTACTAACTATAATTATAAGTTTAATGTAACTAAAATTGGTAATTGCAAAAAAAAAATAGACATTATAATAGATAAACGCTTGACTGGTTACCAGTGAAAAATATAGGGCCCAATCCTTAGGCTCGCCCGTGAGGAGGCATAGACAGGTATCACCTAATTGGTTGGATAGACAGGGGTCAGGATAGACAGTGGTCAGGGCAGACAGGTGTCAAGAGTGACAGGGGGTCAGGACAGGCAGTGGTCAGGGCAGACAGGGGTCAAGAGAGACAGGGGGTCAGGATAGACAGGTGTCAGGACAGACAGGGGGTCAGGACAGACAGGGGTGACGTAAGAGAGACAGCACACTAACACAACACGACACACACACTCTGGACTCACTTGCGTAGTACGGGAGGGAGACTGGGATGGCTGGAGCCAGTGGTCCAGCGCGGGCCTGACGCCGCCACCGTCCTCTCTGCCGAACACACTCACCTTAATAACACTCATATTACTAAACTGACCTGAATTTACCCGAAACCCACTAACACGACTGAATTCGACGAGGACAGGAAGCCGGCTGCTTGTTCAGAGGTTCCCCTTCCCCCTCATTTGCCTAGAATATCTGTTAATAATGATTCTAAAATTGCTCATATCCTACACGACTTCATTTGAAGCCTAACACCCCCTATAATCTCATTTATTTGTAAGGTGAGGCTTCAGATGAGCTGATGAAGGATGGGAGATTAGCTCACAGCTTCACTAAGGACCTCTTCCTCATCCCTCACCAGTCAGTGTTGTGGTCAAGTAACACATATTGACAATGTTCATCAAAGATATTTCAAATGTGAAACTGAAAAATAAAATGTGGAAAAAAACTGAAGGTGAAGAAAATGTTGCATATTTGTACAGACAACAACTGGAGTAAGCCATGATGTAAATAGTTATTATTTTAGTAAATGAAGACATTGATTGTGCTCCTCTGTGAGGATATACATGTTGTTCTATCATATGCTCGTATACATGAATATATACACATGCGCACATGAATGCATGCGTACATGAATACATGCGCACATAGGGACATTAGAGATAATTGATCAAAATACCACTTACTTCTTTACTTGAAATTTCACAGTCGAAGACAAGTGGCAGGACGCAGCTGAGGACGAGGACGGCGAGGACGACCTTCGCCATCGTGGCAAGGATTCTCCAAGATTATTTAACTCCAAGTTAGACTTCCTTCCAGCCCCTGAATCCCTATAGCCTTCGAGGACGACGCCTTGTAGCCTTCGAGGACGACGCTTTGTAGCCTTCGAGAACGACGCTTTGTAGCTTTCGAGGACGAAGCCTGGGTTGCTTAGGCTAAGGGTCGAGTTCGCAACTTTTATAAAGGTCGAGACTGTTACGTTATCTAGTCCATGTAAGATGTGTACAGCTTGTCAGCAGACCATTGTTGGTCCTATGGGGTGTGGACGCTCCCTAGGACACCTGGACGCAGAGTAACACTCGAGATGCAGTCAGCAGACTGTACAGAATAACTAACTACTGGAGAAGCCGCCAGCAGACCGTCTTCCTGTCTTTGGCACTGATCTGTATTAAAAACATTAGCAAGAAATTATGCACTACTCTTCAGTGTATAATTCTTCTTTCCCAGGAAGACTGCAACTGAGACTTGCCAGGAGGCAGTGAATGTGAAGAGGCACAGCACTGTGTTTACCTCCCAAGAGTACGGTTACTTCTATTAAAGTTAGTTTTGTGCAGAAATTAACGTGAAGTAAAATTTACTTGTAATATTAATGTGGTGCAATCTTTAAGAGTAGCCTATATGGGTCTCACTCTCTCTCTCTCCCTCTCCTCTCTCTCTCTCTCTCTCTCTCTCTCTCTCTCTCTCTCTCTCTCTCTCTCTCTCTCTCTCTCTCTCTCTCTCTCTCTCTCTCTCTCTCTCTCTCTCTCTCTCTCTCTCTCTCTCTCTCTGACACAGAGTCACCAGGACCCACACTACACTACACACCTGAGAGTCACCAGGACCCACACACTACACACCAGAGAATCACCAGGTCCCACACACTACACACCAGAGTCACCAGGACCAAAACACACTACACACCTGAGAGTCACCAGGACCCACACACACTACACACCTGAGAGTCACCAGGACCCACACACTACACACCTGAGAGTCACCAGGACCCACACACTACACACCAGAGAGTCACCAGGTCCCACACACTACACACCAGAGTCACCAGGACCCACACACACTACACACCTGAGAGTCACCAGGACCCACACACACACACACCAGGACACACAGGACTGAGAGTCACCAGGACCCACACACTACACACCTAACCCACACACCAGGACCCACACACTACACACCTGGCTCCTCGGTTTCCACAATCCACAGCGTCTCACAGGAGCGTGGCGTCGAATCCCCACCGTGTCCGGATGACTAGTCTTGACGTATGAAGCTGACACAAGACCACATCAGCGAAAGTCACCTCATGCTGCATGCCATCCCCCTCCAACTCCCCCCCCCCCCCCCCCCCACACCCCCCCCCCCTCCTCTCTCCTCTCCCCCCCCCCCTCCTTATATCCTCCTGGTACCCGGGGTGAAAGTCCTGATGACAACAGGATT